CCAAGGGGTCCAAGGATATGTGTCATGTGTCAGCCAGGGCTCAATGATAGTGAGGACTCCTCAGGGGAAGAGGTCTTTGCAGGAGGAGGCTTGTGTAGCCAGCTCTGAATCAGCAAAAGCCAGCAAACAGGAAGATTACTTGCAGGCTTGGCAGGGTTCACAGCCAATAGCTGGTACAGAGCCACCACCCTCCAGCCCCAGTATCATCTACACCTTTAGAACACTGCAGACTGAGGTTAAGAATAGAGCTACAAGAGACAACAAGGTGCATGCCTCCTGGCCCAATGCCAGCTGCTGTCAGCAAGCTGCCACTATGGTTTTTTTTCTATTCTGCATACTTCCCTGTACTCTGGTCATTCCCCCCCCCCCCACTGTATCATCCTGTGTAGGTGTTTACTATCTTTTGCTTGCTACATGCGGAACGGCTCAAGGTCAACCAGCTGGAGGTGGGATGGAGTTATGGCGTTGCTTCGCTTATTATGTATTTGGTGCATGAGAACTGAACGTATGTTTATGCTGTAGAACCGTTGTGTTCCCAAGGAATTGGGTGCGTGTTTTATCTCCCTTCCCGCCAGCGGGAATCAGACCCATTGGTCCTACTCAGGTCCAAATTCCTTTATTATGTTTGCCTATGAAACTTGTAGTCATTCCTAACAATGATTGTGTTCCTGATCTAATCCTCGCTTTGTAATAAACTCTACTTTGTTCATCAATCGTGGATTTATTTCGAATGCATGGGGAATCGGACAGCTGCTTGCTGAAAACAAAGATGAGTAGCTGCAGGATTACTCCTGAGCAGCTGGCTGTAAACATGACCCTTCAGCATATGGCTAAAAAACACCAGCTAAGGGAGGCTGTTAGGTGTGGAAGCAGCAAGTTGAAATTCCTCTGACACTATGGCCACTGCATCAGATCCTGCCTTGTTCCTGTGACTCTTTGGACTGTTCCCTGACTCTGCCTTCGTACCTGCCCATGGATAACTCTTGGACCAGACTACTGACACTTCCTGACTCTGTGTTTTAGCCTGAGACCAGACCTTAACTACGCTGCTTGAGTTGGTGACTTTGCCTTACTTGTTCCATGCTTTGATGATGTGGCCTGTGCTTCCCCCAGCCTGGCTCCTGACAGTATGGCTCCCGGGAAAGCTTGTGGTTTGGCAAGAGGACCACATGTCAACTTGGTCCTATGCAGGGGGTCATCCTAATCCTATCTTATCAATGAGCATTCTAAGATCATTGAAAGCTGTGGCAGAACGGGCCTGCCCTGTTCCACTCTGTTCTCCAAGATTTTTTCAACACCTGGAGAGGCTTTTCTCTCTCAACACCTGGAGAGGCTTTTTTCTCTCGGTTAGGTTGCCACCACCACCTGCCCTTTGTAGGGATTACCCGCTGGGAGGGTCAGGAGTCCCAGCTTCCCTTCCAGGTTCTGAAGCCTTGTCTCTGTGTCTCTGGCTGTCCATTGCCTGGTCACCATGGGGACTGTTTACTGCCTTGTGTGCCCCTGGAGGAATAGCCACTTGCTAACTGACCACCTTCCCACTGGTGCTCCTCTTAAAAAAGCATGTCCAAGATGGTGGAGGTTTATGTGGTACAGAGAACCACTACCAGCATCAAAAGTTATAAAGTATTTATTAAAGAGAAAATGTTCACACGCATACTTTTAGCACAGCACCAGATTGAGCAAGGGATTCAAAAGAAATTGATAAAATGCAATTCCTCTTTTCCCCTCTCTATACCTGCCCTATAGCAGATGTTAAAAAAATAGGGCAAGGTCCTTAGTTTAGGAAGTTACAGATCTCTACTGAGTTTCAATTACTTTGAAGAATTCTTCAGCTGTCTAGGCCACCTCATGGTTAATTGCTGCCTCAGCTAAGAGTTCTCATGGACTTTGCACAAAAGAGACCGCCTCATTGCTGTAAGGAGTTCTTATCTTCTCCCTTTCCCCTTCTACTGACCCAGTCAGGCCAGGTCAGAGAAGCTTTTCCTCAAGTTTCCAGAAATTTCCTTCCTGAAGTCTCACTAGTATTTAATTCCTCCAAATCTCTGTTCCCTGCTTGGGGAAGGGGGAGAGCTGGACCCATCCATTATCTATCCTGATAGATCAATTAGCATTTGTATGAAGGTAGGCTGAGGTATGTCTGGAAAGCAGTTGAACTGACCTTCCCCCTTCCTGCCTGCTCTCTGCTCAGAGAGGAAAAAAGCTTTTAAAACTCAAGAGTGAAGGTTTTGCTCATTTCAAATCACCAAAGAAAAATGCATTTCTTCACAAAAGCAGTAACATAGGCACACGTAATTCTACATAGAGTTGGGCAGTTCAACTACTCAGTGGTAAGGAAGTGTACTCTGTGTGTAATTGGGAGCATTATCTATTAAATTCTTGCATGTGACATTTAAAAGATTCTTTGAATCTTTCTCATGTTGTTTGTGAATTAACTGAATTAAATGGGACTTGCTTGCACAAATCAATAATTAGGATCAGGCCCTAAGTACTTCCAAGAAAGAAGAGATCCATTTTAAAATTGAAATGAATTGAGTGAAGATTTTATATTGTCATTAAATCCAAGATATACACAAACTACATTAGTCTGATCTTGTCAGATCTCAGAAGCTAAGCAGGGTCAGCCCTGGCTAAGATTTGGATGGGAGACCTCCAAGGAATACCAGGGTCGTGACACAGAGGCAGACAATAGCAATAAAAAAACAAAAACCCTCTGAATGGCTCTTGCATTGAAAACCCCACAAGGTCACAATAAGTCAGTTGTGACTTGATGGAACTTTCCACCACCACTAGCCATTTGATGGACTAAAAGAGTGCTCCTAATCAATCAGGCTGCAGATTTTGATTTTTTTTTTTTACAATTAACTTTACTACAAAAGGTCCAGATGACAACCACTGCCTCAAATAAGGCTTTCAATTTGTGTTAGGAAAAGTGGGAAGTTCCTCTTCTAAGGTCATATTTGCTGCAACACACATATCTAAAAATATGCTTTTCCAAAAAAACCCCTATCTGGAATGTATGCCGGTTTAACTGATTCCATTAAAGCAAATAATGAGTCAACTAACACTTCTCTAATGGGGTGAGTGCTCTGGCGAAATTAAAGACAGAGTCTTGTGACAGTGTAATCCTAAACAGAGTTGTCCCCTTCTAAATCCATTTAAGTCAGTGAGCTTAGAAGGATATAGCTCTGCTTAGGATGGCACTGTTAGAACTGAGCAGACTTGTTATGGCACAAACTCACAGAATGTAACTCAGTTCATCTGATGATGAAGTGCAAGCATCTGATCAAGTGTGATGTAGTACACAAAAGCTTGTGTCATGAATCTGTTCAGTACACAAATGTCCCTTGTTTTGTGCTTTTGCTGTTAACAGACCAACAATGCTATGCCATCCCAAGCAGAGTTGTTACTATCTTTATTTTCATTTATAGCCTGCCTTTCAGAGACTCAAGGCGAATTACAAGTTTGATTTTTAAAAAACCCTTTTCAGTAAATTATTAAATGGATTACAGGCTTAGAAGATTGATTCAGGTGAGTAGCCCTGTTGATTTGAAGAGGCAGAACAAAATTTGAGTCCAGTGGCACCTAAGACCAAGAAGGTTTTATTCAGGGTATAAGCATGCACACTTCTTCAGGAGAGTGTAACTGTGCTTAGGATGGGACTTTAAGGGTGCGTTCAGACACGGCGTTTGCAACGGTATAGGTGCCGGTTGCAATCGGTGTACTTACCGGCGTTCACACGTAGAACATCTGCCTTCCGTCCCTAACCGTTGTAAAGAGCTTTACACCGTTGTATTCTGCCACTAGGTCCCCAAGTGGTGGTATCCTGAGTACAACAGTTGTAATCGCTTAACCCCCCATCTGATCGCTCTCCACCGTTGCAGAGCCATTTCCATTCAGAAGCCTGAGGCTTCCGATTTTCGCCCGCCATTTTTTTAAAAAGGTCGGCAATATGCGCTTGGGTGAAGCTTCGCCCTGGCGTTTGATTTTTTAAAAGAAAGAAAAGGGTCTTAGTTTAGCGTTTCGGAGGCGTCTGGGACCTCAGGGAGGCTACTTTGCTCTTTAAACTTTAAAGGTAAGTCCTTACCTTTACAGTTTAAATGTAAGACAGGGTTTTTGCGCATGCGCAAAGATCGCCATTCTATGGATGGCTGCCTATGCGCATGCTCAAACTGAGTTTTAAAAAACCCAAAAACCGCCTATGCCCACTGTGTGTGGATGGGCATACAGCGATGGGATCCGCAGACAGGACGTGAGTGTGATCACGTTTCAGCTGGCATAAACTGCACCGGTTCCAACCAGTACAGTTTATGCGGGCTGAAACGGCGCGTCTGAACTCTGTGTGCAGTCCTATGAAGAGTTACTCAAGTCTACGCCCATGGAAATCAATGGGTTTCAACTGCAGGACCTTAGCAGGGAATTGCAGTGTAACAGGGACATGTGATAGCAAGAAACTCTACTGTAAAACATCTTGAGTGAACTCCACACAGAAGTCATGTGAAAGACAGCTGCAGTATTTCCCGCAGGTACTTGTACAGGTCTTGGGCTGGTTGCTGTTTTCTTCAGGATGGAGAAGTAGAAGGACCCACAACAAACGACCTTTCTCATTTTGGGTCCCTCCTGGCCCTGCACAAGTTTGGGTGTTATTACCACTGGTTACAACAACACAATAAAGTTTGAGTCCAGTGGCACCTTTAAGACCAACAAAGTTTTATCCAAAGCACATGTGTGCTTGCACACAAAAGCTTATTCACGGTATGAGCCTTTTATCACACATGTTTGTGCATGCACACAAAAGCTGATGCCACTGGAGACTCAAAACTTTGTTCAGCTGCTTCAGACCCCCCCCCCCCCCCACCTGAATCTATCTCCATTGGTTACTATGGTGATGCGGGACAGGGGACAGACCTCCGGGGCGCGGTGGGGCGCTGTGAGGAGAGTAAATAAACGCAACAAGAGTCCCGTGTTTGAGCTCCCTCCGTCCTTCTTGCCGGGGGTTGGGGGTGGGGGGGGGAGGATAGGAAGAACTGAAAGTGAGGCGGGTTCGGCCCGGGGGACAGCGGTGCTGCTGGCGCGGCCTGGACCGGCGGCCCTGGATCCGCGGCCTGGAGGGGCTCGGCTCGGCTCATGAGGAACAGGAAGGGCTGAGGAGGAGGAGGAGGAGAGGGAGGCCGACATGTCCGACAACGGCTTTGACCGGGCTCCAGGTGCGGGTCGAGGCCGAGGCGTCCCACTGGCTCCCGAGAGCGGGGCCAGCTTGGGGCTGAGCGGCGGCGGCGGGGGGAGCTTCGGCGGTCCAGACCAGCTCCTCAGGCAAGGCTTCGCGCGCCACCAGGAGCCACTTCGGCCGCCCAAAACAGCCCCGCCGGGAAGCAGCAGCAGCGGCGGCGGCGCCTCAGGTATATATAGTTCTCTCGCCTCGACGCCTTCCTCGCCCCCGTTCTCCTCACCCCCCCCCCCCCCTCCCTTCGTTAGGACCGCACCCGGCCCAGGCCCCCCGTCTTCCCGCGGCTGACCCGCCGGGAACCTTCCCCCTGGTTTCGCAGCCACCGCAGAGCCGGTGAAAAGGATATTTCCCTTTCTTCCTCGCCTCTTCCCTGCAGGGGGATCACATTTTCGAGGGTGGGCGTCGCCGCCACCCGCATCCGTATGTTGCTGTCGCTTAGGAGTATTTATATTTTCTGGCTAACTTCCCGCTTCTACGTACTATTGTTGCAACCAGCTAAAACGGGCCTTTGCACAAACTACAGAGCTCTTTGCTTTTTTCCTGAATATTTTTTTTTTAAAGGCCTACGTGACTTAAGCGGGGGGGGGGGTTTGATATGTTTATAGTTCAAAAGAGTTAAGGGCACCGGGGATTGCTACATGAGTACCCACTCACACTTACTTTTGCAGTTTCATTGTGAGTATAGTCAAGAATGGCCTTGCTGAGAATCTTCCCTGTTGAAATCGATTGTGCCAGTGAAACGGCATGGGGGTGGGTGGAGGAGTGGAATTTGAGTCATGATTTACCCTGACCGAAAATTAGGTGTATATATGAATTCCTCTGACCCTGTTTCTCCCTTTGGCAGTTTTTTAAATGGCATGGAAGAATCACACAGATTGTTGGATGTGACCATTGCTTAATCCACATATTGGTGGATAGTGCAGTATCATTGCACTGTAGCAGTCATTTGCCTGTTGGTTGTGTTGTCCCTGCAAGAAAATCCAGTTGGAGACAATTGCTGTAGTGTAACAATGTGCATATGCAGCCTGTGGCACTGGTCTGTATTTGGAAAAAAAAACTTGTTATCCCAGAGTGGCATTTGTAGAAATGACCCTCTGGATTTATGTATTTGAGACTTTGTAATGTCTAACTAGAACTGTGAAGTCCCTAGTTCATTATTCCTGCTCTTGCCATGTAACTGTGACGGTTACTCGACACATAGGGTGCTGTTACACATGTTAAATAATGCCGTTTCAGTCCACTTCAGCGACCATTTGCAAGTGGATTTTGCCATTTCACACAGTAAAATCCACTTGCAAAGTGGATTGAAAGTACGTTATTTAGTATACATGAAAGCACCCATATAGATGAAGATGGGTAGCCATATCTGAAGAAGGAAACAGAGACTCACGAAAGCTCATATATCCTACCACAACTTTTGTTAGTCTTTCAGGTTCTACGAGGCACTTATTGTTTTCAACATATATAGAGGATAATCAAGTGTATGCTGTGCACTGATTGTATGTGTGCTCACTGTAACTTGTAATGGGGACTATTGTAAACAATAAAATGGAGGGGGTGGAGCTGTATTCAGGGTTCTAAATTATTTTAGGGATATGAAGACAGTGCTGTGGATCCAGTTTTTTATTTGTGTGTTTTTATTTGTTTTTCATGTGATGCTTAGCATGGAATCCTCAGCTTACTTACAGTGGGAGCAAAGTTTCACTGAATTAATGAGAGTCATTTCTGTGGTAGTCTTAAGGATGCAAATAAGAAAATAACTGGCAGATCTAAAGCATGATTACTCAGAATAAGTCCCACTGGGTTTTGTGATGGTTTCTTCTGTTAGCTATTTAATTAAAATCTTTGCTGTTCAAGGCAGTCAACAATAACAGTTAAATTGGTGTGCATAGAAATGTCACCAAAGTTTCACTGAATTAGTGGTTCAGCATGTAGCCGTGAACATGCCATTGTGTGTCATTTATGCACATACCAAAGAGAGCAGTTTTTGCACAGAGGTTGGATTTTAGTGTTAGAACATAAGAGAAGCCATGTTGGATCAGGCCAGTGGCCCATCCAGTCCAACACTCTGGGTATGTTCAGCTGGGGCGTTTCAGCTGGGGCGTTTCAGCCGGCATAAACTGTACCGGTTGGAACCAGTGCAGTTTATGCCGGCTGAAATGCGATCACACTTACCTCCTGTCTGCGGGGCCCATCGCTGTATGCCCGTCCACACACAGCGGGCATCGGTGGTTTGTTGTTGTTTTTTTAACACAGTTTGCACACGCTCATAGGCAGCCATCCACAGAATGGCAATCTTCACGCATGCGCAAAACACCCCGTCTTACATGTAAAGTTTAAAGGTAAGGACTTACCTTTAAAGTTTAAAGACCAAACTGGCCTCCCTGAGGTCCAGGAGTCCTCCATAACCTTAAACTAAGAACTTTTTCTTTTTTAAAAAAAACAAACGCCGGGGCGAAGCTTCGCCCAAGTGCATATCGCCAACCTAAAAAAAAAATGGCGGGCGAAAATCGGAAGCCTCGGGCTTCCGAACGGAAGTGGCTCTACAACATTGGAGAGCAATCAGACGGGGGGTAAAGCAATTACAACCGTTGTACTTAGGATACCACTACTTGGGGACCTAGTGGCAGAATACAATGGTTTAAAACTCTTTGCAACGGTTAGGGACGGAAGGCAGATGTTTGCCTTGTGAACGCCGGTAAGTACACCGATTCCAACCGGCACCTATACCGTTGCAAATTCCCCATCTGAACGCACCCTCTGTGTCACACAGTGGCCAAAACACAGAGGCCATCAGAAGGTCCACCAGCAGGGCCAGAAGCTGTCTATACTTGTATCCGCCACCACTTCCTGCAGCAGTGAATTTGATTTAATTACTCTTTGGGTGAAAAAGTACTTCCTTGGATCGGTTCTAACCCAACTATTCAGCAATTTCATTGAGTGCCCACGAGTTCTTGTATTGTGAGAAAGGGAGAAAAGTACTTCTTTCTCTACCTTCTCTACCCCATGCATAATTTTGTAAACCTCTGCCATGTCACTCAATCATTGTTTCCCAAAGCTAAAGAGGCTAACCTCTTTAACCTTTCTTCATAAGGAAGGTGTTCCATTCCATTAATCATTTTAGTTGCCCTTTTCTCCACCTTTTCCAATGCTATAATATTTTTGTTTGTTTGTTTAATATATTTTTATTTTCAACACATATTATATACAAAACAACATAACAACATAATAGCATAACAACATAACAACTTCTATCCCCCCCACCAACTTACCCCACCCGACATAGAATACAAACCCACTATTTGACCACACAACCCTCATATACAGAGCTCTTCCCATTGTAGATTAATTCATCTCATGTTCCAGCCATCTATATACTGGTGTCCAAACATTACGAAATGAATTATTCAAATTCCCATTCAGCTTTTGAGTTAAATTGTCCATTTCAGCTATATCAATTATTTTACTAATCAACTCCCCTTTCGTTGGTACCTGATCGGTCTTCCAACCTTTTGCGAGCAAAATTCTCGCCGCCGTTAATATATGTAAAATTAGATATTTTTCTTTTTTCTTCCAATTGTCCGGATATATATTTAGTAGGAACACTTCCGGATCTAACGGTATCGGCTTCTTGATTATCTGAAATAACACACTTTGGACATCTTTCCAATATTTATTAACCTCCCTACAAGCCCACCAGACGTGATAATATGAACCTATCTGTGTTTTACACTTCCAGCATCTAGCGTCCAAGCCCTCATACACTCGGGCTAATCTTTCAGGTGGCATATGCCACCGATGTACCACCTTATATATGTTTTCTTTCAGTGCTACTGCTTTTAACCACCTAGTGTTATTCCAAACCTTTCCCCACTTTGTCGCCTCAACCTCACCTCCAACGTTGTCTACCCATGATTTCATGGTTTTTTCCATGACCTCATCCTGCATTTCTTGTTTTAGGAGGTAAGCATATATTTTACCAATCATCTTAACATCCTCCCCTAACAGAATATTATCTAATTCGGATCTCCCCGAAATGAAGCCAATCTGTTTATCTTTGACAAATTTAGATCTTAACTGGTTCATTTCCCACCATGAGAGTTGTATACCTTGTACCCCCAACTCTTCTTGCAATTTTAGTTCGCTATTATTATCCAATAAAACCTCATAGGTTGAGGCTCGTACCTCAGACATTAGTGTGGGTAATACCATAGCTTCTAAAGGGGCTATCCATCTTTGTCTCTTCATATAGGAAGCTGTTTTAATCTGTTTCCACACTTTTAGTAGGCTGGCTCTAATTATATGATGTTTAACATACGAATGAGTTTTGTCTTTCTTGTCCCAAAATATTCCGTGCCATCCTACCATCAGGTTAAAACCTTCCAAGTTCAACACTCTTACATTTTTTAGAAGGATCCACTCTCTCAACCAATCCAAAGCAGCAGCCTGGTAATATATTCGTCAATTTGGCATTGCCAGTCCCCCTTTTTGACTTTTTTCCTGTAAAACTTTTAGCCTAATTCTTGGCTTTTTATTTTGCCAAGCAAAGTCCCTAACCAGCCTGTCCAACCTTTGAAAATATTTCATGTTACGGAGGACTGGAATTGTTTGAAATAAGAATAACACTTTTGGAAGTACTGACATTTTGATCGTGGCTACCCTCCCCATCATTGACAGCCATAGCGATGACCATTTATCCAAATCTTTCTTGACAGTGGTCAGTAGCGGTTCATAATTATCCTGTATTAACGTACTAAGCCTATTAGTTATAGTTATCCCCAAATATTTCAATTTCTTAACCACTTTAAAGTTTGACATTTCCTCAATCTGCCGAATAACTTTCTCTCTACAATTCTTTGTCAGTACCTTTGTTTTCTCTGTGTTAATTCTTAACCCCGCTAATTGACCAAATTTATCGATCGTATTCATTAGCGCCATTATAGAATCAGTTGGATTTTTTTTGAGGTACAGTGACCAAAAGTCTGCACAGTATTCCAAATGAGGTGCACCATAGATTTATACAGGGGCATTATGATATTGGCTGATTTGTTTTCAGTCCCCTTCCTAATAAACAATTTGTGTCTTGTGTGAAAAGACTGGCATATCTTGTACTTGGAAACAGAACAATGCTACAAAGGTCTATATTTTGTGCTTGTCACTGAAGAGAAATCA